CCGGGTGAATAGGTTTAGTCCACATAATTCATGGATGATTGAAGTTTACATGTCAGAATGTATAAAATTCACGTTAACTGATAAGCGTATGTAGTAAATGACATTAGTAGACATGTAAGATATACGGAAGCTTATTATACAAATTGAACGAACGTCATGGAATGAAAAAATATACTATTGAGTTATCTTTATGGAAAGTGACCAACTGTAAGACTGAAATGTTAGTTTATCTAAAGGATCCGGTCAGTACCAAGGAATACAAAATAGGACGTCACCAACTGAGAATAAGAAAGTACAATTAGTGAATGAGATGAAAAAATGTGAAGAAATAAATCTTAATAAAAGTTATAAGCAGTCGCGTGTGGCGGAGAAGTACTTCAAATTCACAAGAGGGCCTGCATAAATATATGGGCTATATGTTCCTGTCATCTAGATATTTCAACAAGTTATCTGTTTTCTTGTTTGCTTCAACACATTATTATGCCTATTAGTCTCATAACCTATTCAAATGCGTTTATGAAAAGTTTACAACCCTTCGTTGTACAAGTTACAAAAGAGTTTAATCAGAAACATTGTGGTTGTTGACAATATACATCGAAAAGAATATACATTATTCAAATGTCGATTCATGAACTTCTAACATCTAACTGGCAACCACTAAGCATTTATCATCAGGATCGATCAAGAAATAAGAAAAGGAAACTTGTTGAAATATTTTATGCTAAGAACTCTATATTGTACCAAAAATGTAATATTGAATAAAGCCAGTAGTAATAATGATAATAATAAAATTAACTTATGTCAAAGTGATATAGCAGCGATAATAAGATCAATGAAGCAAAATAGTGAAATTCTAGCCCTTCACTCATTTACTAAGTACAAACATTTTATACCTCCCTTTGAACAAATCCATCGAATTTAGTAGCAAAAAGCTGATGTCGATTGATTATAATTTTATAATACTTCTGTGATTCATTGAAACTCAACAACACAATCACATAAGAAAACATGATCCTAATAAATAATTGTGCGTCATATCATTATCTCTTGGTGACTTAGCTTCTTTAATCAATCACCTTGATAACCGTTATTACATAAATCTCAACGATGTTTTAAATCAAAAGGCAATAAGAAGCGACAACTAGTTTATTAGCAGATAGCACAAATAACAAATCTATAAGTACATCCAGCCAATTTGAAACAGAGAGGAGAATGTGTGTATGCGAGCAAATACAGAGGTAAATTTATTTTCACAGATTTAAATCATGAGTCAAATCGAAAGCTAATAATAGGATTTGAGTACATATATACATAGGGAAGAGAACAATTCATCAAGCGATATTTAAGTTATTAACATTTTAGTTAGAATCTGTCATGTGATCAAACGTACACATTTATACAGATATGGTAGTGATCATAATAGTACAAATAAATATGCGAATTGTAACTGTTCGAATATGTGCTAAGTTAATAAAAGAGCTTAACCAAAATTTAACCATAATCGACATTTATTGTAAGAGAGTTACTATAATCTATATATACTTAATTATTTTCGAAGAGATAAATTAGGAGCACCCAGAAACAATGATATGAAATATTTTTTTTCCATTTGTGTTGCTCAGATTGAATTTACTTCTATTTAGAGCATTTTTCTGCATTTTGTAATTGTATAAAAAGATGTGTAGTGTCAATCATTATGTTAAGCCCATATAGTTTATTCTAACTTTCGGACAGCCCAATCTATTCATTCTACTTGAGTCATATTTTGACCTTGTCAATTATTCGCTTATCAGTCTTGACTGCTTTTATATGAGCGTATATGTGTGCACACTTCATATCCCGTGTCTCATCACATGTCTGTAGTTTATTTTGTCTGACTATAAATATTGAGTAACTCCTGGCTTAAAATGAGTTGGCTTATTAGCCATCTCCACTGCGCGTCATTTTGCCTTGTTCTATTACATTCACTTTACATACAAAAGACGAAATGATAGAATGTCTAATGAGAAAATTCATCACTTATATTTCGTGTTATACTGATGTGAAAGACAAGTATCGTTGTATTATAAAATAATATTTACAAAGATTTCATCCTGTCATTCATTTAAAAGAATGTTTTAAGTGATGTAAAATTATAATATATACATATATGTGAATATACAAACCAAAAAAACATATGCAAATAGCTAATTAGTTCATGAATATAAAACAGATCTGTTTCTGTGACCTAACATTTAAATGATAGAACTTTGTAAAATGTTATCTTTTGTTAACTTCTTTATTTAAAAAAATTTCGATGAAACTATAATTTATGGACGACCTTTGGGCGACCTCAAAGTGACCTTGAGGGTGTCTACCTAATAACTAGGACCAAATGAGTGTTATAAACTAATGTGAGGAATTACAATTATGATATACAATTGATGGATAATGTTAGGAATTAGGTTTACGATTTTTCATCATGAACTGATATAAGCTAAAATACCAAGACGTTATTCGGTCAAATGGTTAAAAGTGAATTTCGCACCAAGATCCAATACTTATTGTCCTAAATCTGATTGGTCCGTCCATAAATTATAGTCTCGTTACAATTTCTACCATGTTTAATTAACGTATTTACAAGGTTAACTTTAGGGCATCTTTTTTTCTATATTTATGAGGTTATCATTGAACATAAATTCTCACATTCATTTGAACAACTTGTTAAGTCCTAGTTAACAAAATCAATTATCTATCGATTTGATTAGTACTACATTTAAATGTGTACATTCTAAACGAATTCCAAACTAAAACCAGAAAATACTTGATATTGTTTGTTTGTATCTTCCCAGTGAGGTTTAGGACTGCAATTAATCGGTCTGTTATTGGCATATGTGCATACTGTGCGTATGCCTCGATATTGCCTTAATTTACAAGCTTCTGTAAGCAATGAAAGATAGTGGATAGCAGTGGGATATAGGACGCGCGTTTCGTCCTATTTGGGATTCGTCAGCTGCATGTACCTGCATATCAGAGTTGATGTTCACTCCGGGACTTGAACCCAATACCATTCGCTTCAAACGCCATCGAGTTATCCACTCAGCTACTGAGTCCTGATAGCCAGTTGCTTGTGCAATGGGGTGATCAATTGCAGTCTTAAACCTCAATGGGAAGATACAAGACAAACAACACCAAGTCAATATAACTTCACCCCATTGCATAAGAAGATGGCTATCAGGACTCAGTAGCTAAGTGGATAACACGATGACGTTTGAAGCGAACGGTACTAGGTTCAAGTCCCAGAGTGAACATCAACTCTGAGATGCAGGTACATCTACCTGATGAGTCGCAAATAGGACGAAACGCGTGTCCTGGATTCCACTGCTAGCCACTATCCATCATTAAAACCATAATGTTTTTTTTCTGTGAATACTAGTTTTTAATTGTTCTTTTTATCACACCATTTATATTTAACTCGTATGAAATAAAGCAAACATATGGAAATAATACAATTTTCTCCTTATCACTAAACCAACTTAATAAACTAAACAAACCAATCATATGTATGATCCATTTTCCTACATATTTAATCTATATATAATAAAAACAATTTAAACAATGATAAAAGTGTTGTTGACTTGAAATATCAAACCGAAAAAACAAATTGGGAATAAAAATCAACGAAATTTAATGATCGATCGTTTATTTTGTTTTTCATTTGATCATGGAAACCATTCATTTTATTGAAAATAAAACGCTGGAAAAAAAAACAGACCATAATAATCATTGGTAAGTTGAATCAATTAAACCTAAATGACAAAAAAGGTGTGAATTAAAAGAAAAAGCATAAGATGAATGGGAATTTTTTTTAAATTGTCACAAGAAAATGGAACACTATTGATTGTTACTATTGTTGTTATGATTATGAATGTAATTAGTATTATTATTCAATATAATAAGAAGGCTGCTATTCATTTATTGATTTAATCATTATAATTGTAAACTATTTATGAATACGTTCAAACAAACAAACAAAAACAAACAAACAAAAAAAGAAAGAAAATAATGAAAACAATCAAAATGTAAATAAATAAGTCCAATCACTTGTGATGAAAATAAATCGTTGAATTGAGAAAAACAATTTTCCACTATACTCAAAATTTTTTTTGGTTTAAAAATGAAGGCAAAAAAAAGAAAACAACATATCGTTTCACTTAGATATAGTAACTATAAAAAAAAACAAAAAAAAAACAAAATAGATAAATAAATATCTGTTATATGCATATCAATATATAGATGTGGTTGGAACGTTTAAGCAGTAAGTAGTTGACAATATTACACATAGTATAGTTACTGGTTGTTGTTTTTTTCAAATTTTCTTCTCTTTTTTCGCTTCCAATTTAATTGTAAGAAAGTACATATATATAGTAATATAAGAATAAAATGGCGCCATTTGTGTAATGTGCTATTTTGACTTAAGAAAGAAAAAAAAATATGGAAAGATATTTCGATTGAATGTAAATTAAATTAATTTTACAAGTTCTTCTAGTATACATATAGATATATTTGTTCCTCAGCAGGAATGAAATAGAAGTGAATAGGGAGGAAAAAAAATCAATCAAAGTAATAGTTCATTTCAATTATGATGTAGGCTGAGGAACTATATATATATATATATATATATATATATATATATATATATATATATATATATATATATATATATATATATATATATATATATATATAACGATACATTGTAATTATAAAATAAAGCAAAGAGGAAAACCAATATTACTCAAGACAAAAGAGTTAAATGAAAAATTTTTTAACTAAGAACTGACAAATATTTCCACCATAAATAAACATATTTACACATAGATTCATCTTTAACTTATGATTGAGATTATTGATTCCCAGGGAGTATCATCATTATATTTCTAATTGTTATATTTTAATTAGAAATAATTTATGATCATCATTTTGACAATAATTTTATTCACGCTTAAATATAATTCATATTAAATTGTATTGTTATCATTTTTCTCAATATTTTTAATTTCATCAGTTATATTGTTGAATGAAAATGGTTGAATTTCAGGAGGACGAGTAGGTGATGATAATGATGATGGTGATGAACATGATGTTTGTAATTTAGGTGGTAATTTATCTTGTTTATCAATAGAATTTGATTTTAATTGTTTACATTGTATTTCTGTTAATTTATCTTCATCAAATGTGAATGTAGATAAAGAATCAGTGGAATTAGTTGATTTTTCCGCTGTTGAATTACTTTTATTTAATTGAAGACGACGTAATAAATGAAGTACTGCTGTTGCATTATAAGCTTTCTAGATGAAATTTAAATAGAAATGAACAGTTATAATATAGAACTAATTCAATAACTAAAGTAAACTTTTCTTTATAAACCAATAAAATATCATAACTGATGTACTGAGTAGAACTAATCATTACGTATTAATTTTCCAAGTGAATGGTGTAGAAGATGAAAGCTGTATAAAGTTTTATTAGGAATTATTAGTAAATAAAGAAAAACATCATCTTCAAATTTGTGAAGATATTCCAGACATAACTGGTAAGAATTTGCATACTAGACTGTTTTTCAATTTGACCTAATAATAGATAAATGGATAAGTAATCAACCGAAAGAAGACAGAAATGAAAAAAACTCTTTCTACAAACACTATAGTCTCTAGTTATTAAGCATTACAGAGATTGATATTTAGCCGATTCCTCAGGGAAACTGTACTAAAATTCGAAAGTTAATGAAGATATCTAGAATGGAATTTGAAAATGTTCTATTTCTTTCCTGTTCATAAACGATAATCAAACCAGAAAAAAACAAACAATTGCATAAAATATACTCTGCTATGTTTAGTTATGCTATACAAATCAAATTATAACAGAACACGTGAAATTGAGTTTGTTCACAATTAATTCGATTAAGTCATTTTATTAACTTATTAACGAACTTAGTCATCGGTATGACAACTTATCTATATCATTGTATCTTTATTACTATTGCGAATGTATGAACATGTATGCTTGAATATTGCTTACGGCCTACGCATATATTCACTATGCTAGCATTACTACTAACCACTTGTTTGATTCGATAACTCATTTCACTATATATATATATATATATATATATATATATATATATATATATATATATATATATTCCTTTCGCTCACTTAATTGTACGCGCTTGCTCGTATTCATATTCGCTGACTCCTTGCTCACTTGCTTGCCTTTCGGCACAACTCTTCTATGCTTGTTTAACGCATCTGTAATTTTGGATATCTGTGTATGGTCCCATAATAAACGTAATCAACGCTTTGTATTCGCCTTCTGATTAATATACCGTTGGGGGATTATCTAGGACGGTTATCAAGACGAACTGTATACGAAGTTTAAGGATTATATCGAATATCGGCCACCACAAAATACAATGTTGGTACCAAACGCTGTGAATTTATGTTAATAAATGCACCTAAGCGGCAAACAGACGAAATCGTTGCTCAGGTTTTCATAACATTAACCAAGTAATTAATTGGTCATGATAAATTTATCTTATACCATTTCATAGGCAACTTATCAAGTTATAAATATATATATTTCCACTTTATAAAATCAGAACCTTATATTATGTAGATAACACAGTTCCAGGGAGTTTCATATTCGAAAGGGAAAATTATAAAAAAAAGAAAGATATTGTCCTTTTCACACATATACATTAAACTTTTTAATATAAAGCATTATAATCACTTTGCTCTTAATCTAATGAAATAAGTTTTGATGTTAGTTAGTTTTAGGCAAAGATCAAGTAAGTTGTGAATCTAGATTATCTCTAAAGGAAACAACCAAAAGTATAATGGTGTTTACTTTACTAAAAACCCTTTATAAATAAAGTATGAATATAAATAAACTTAAAATACTTTAAATATTGTTATTTATCAAAATATTTGATAATAAAAATTGAATACCTACCTTCCATCGTTTTACTGCTAAGAAATTTTTACGTATCTGTTCACTGACAAAAGGATAAAGATCTCTATCAAGTGCTGTATTACTAGCTATCCATGGATGTTCTAAAGCTTGTACACAACTATAGCGTTTTTTTGGATCTTTTTGGAGTAGATGACTAATAAAATCTTTGGCTGAAAAACAAAAAGAATTTCAAAAAAAATAAATAAATGGAATGTTAAACTTGTTTTTTTACATGAAGTTTGAAAGAAATCTGTTAAACGTTATATGGATTGACAAACTAGTTGGATAGTAAAGTTGCTAGCAGACTATGTTCTGAAGATAGAAATGAGGGGTGAGTTAGCCACAGTTAGATGTTATTTTGTGTGATAACAAAATGTTATAACAAAAGAAATGGATTATGCTACGGTTTAAAAAAAAAGAAACTTATGTTCCCAAAGCTTAGCTTCAAGAATGCCGAAACAGAATGGCTTTTCCATTTAACGGAAATACTAAAAGCTTGTCTTTCTGTATGAACCGAAATGCCCAGTATGATATTTAATTGTGAATGAATGCTCGACTTGTGTTACCGCTACTCTACCTATCACTTTCCAAATACATAAATTGAAAGGAAAGAAGTGAAGTGTCCGAACCTCTGAAGACATTCCACAAGAGAATAGATTAAAAATATACAATGTTTTCATTAGTGTAAGCGTTTGTCACTTTCTCAGCAGTGAATATGATGCTGACCTTTCAGAATTAATAAAACAGCCCTTTCAAACTTAGTACACTCTGCTGAAACCGTTGTGTATCTAGAGAAATATAGTTAGTAGTCTTGTACAGCCTTGGTGATCGCGTTACATAACATATCTTTCCATGATCTTAATCATTACCCTTCGTTTTTTATTTGAGTTGGTCAATTTTCAAGTATTAAATAAACTATCGACACAAATCTTCGAATTGAGAAATTTTGTTTCCATGCACTTTTTAGCTTGTTTTTTTTCTTTGAAATATTCACAATTATTTTGTGTTAATTTCATATTTGCATCTCAGACTCAATTTTATTCAGGACTTTTCTAAAATAAAGTATGTATATTTATCGCATATTATATTGATTAATGCTACTGTTTCTAAGTTGTAAACAACTGAGGAGTATCTATGCGATGAATGAATTTGTATTATTCAGCTATGATCATTGTACTTTCTTTATTCAGATTTGTTATTTAATTTTGCAATTGTTGGTTAAGTAGTATACAACTTGTATATTTTTATTACTTAAAAGCTAGATCCACCTGTTCAACGTGTTTGTTACTGACTTTTGAAAGTTTACTAGTATTTGAGCTAGAATTTCTACAATGAATTAAATTCATAATCAATCATTAATAGTGTAAAATATCAGTGAAACTGTGTACTAAATCAGTTTGGTTCTAACCTGACAATAGACTACCATACATTTCAACAAAAATTCCATTAGATAGGATGGTCGTACAAAAACGATTACCAATGTTGAGTATAACCTTATTTTACATTGTACATTACTGCTCAATTAGTTCATATCATAAACATTCGAATGCTATCTATAGAATGTCTGTATATTCACGCATTTATCTTGGTTTTGAAAAAATAAACTGCTGGATAAACGATGTTCAAGAGCAAACAAAAAGATATAGGTATGATAAAGTACAAACAACGTGTCAAACTACGAAATCTCTGGATGTTTATCTGGCAAAATCACCTTTTTTATCTTGATTGAGCAAAGGTTACAGTAATCTGTTTATCTAAAAACTCTAGTCACATTAATTATCCGAACTTTGAACTACTACGGCATTGTTTTCCTTTCTTAGTTCATGTTCATTATTAGTATTTAATGGATTGTAAATTTAATAAGTCTAATTAGGTATAATAAAAGAAAGGAAAAGAAAAGAAAAATCTGTTTCTAAAATTACCTGAGTCAGATATATTATCCCAATACGGTGAATCAAATTCATATTCTGCCATTCGTATTTGACGAAACAATTCATGATCATTTTCATCATAGAATGGTGGATATCCACATAATCTAACATTTTATAGTTTAATTTCCATAAGGTCAATTTTTAATAGAATTTAGAAAAAAGGTGAACTATTATTAGAATAAAGTTTAATTTGTGTATTTCATTTAATATATATACATATATATTTACATTTATTAAATGTAAACGAGATAGGTACTCAAAAATTATGTCATGATTTGCAATAGTTACACTTTCAATGAATCGCATCATTAACTGCGGTATGATAAAGATGTATTCATTTCACCATCTTTTAAAGAGATGTTACTTGCACAGTGACCTTAACGAAAAATCTATTTTTAAAAAAAAAAAAATTATTTCAACTGTAAGATTTTCGTGAGCATTGAACTCTACGTATTTTGAGTGAAACACACTGATGAAAGTACATTTTATTTACTTAGATGTATCTATGATCAATACAGTGGAACACTAGAATTAAGTATCAACTAGCTTCTTTCCTGATTCATGTTTGATAAATTCGTAAATTGTATAATCTTAAGAACTATGTTCAAATAATTACAAAGAGCTAATGAAAATAACAACTACTTATATGGAATGGTGTTAATTACGCAACATGATACGTAAGATCAATTATTTAACCATACTACTTTACAGTAAACTGAACAGAATTCTTCTTACAGACTCTTTCAACCGAAAAAGATGTTATACTTCAACAACGAAGTATAATAAAAATTTAAGAGGGACACAAAATGGGTTTCCTGGTTAGGATTTATTTATTTATTATTTATTTATTTGAACACATAAAACAATGAGGATTTAAAGAGAAGGAAAACGAAAAAAGGTAAGGAGTGTAAAAAAAGAAAAGAGAACAATGACGAAGAGATTGATGTAAGGTAGTGTAATAATAATGATAGTAATAGTGAGGGAACGGAAAGGTACACTCAGAAGAAATCTTTGAGTTAAGGAAGATACAACCACCTTTTACAAAGGAAGTTTAAGGTTACAGCAGGATCTCCACTGGCTTCTATTCTGAGCCATATCTGATAACGTCTCTAGCCATTGTGTAGCACCATCTCTCGGACCCCAGTCAGGGAGTTGAGAAGGATCAACACAAGCCAGTCCTTTGTAGCTTTCTTTCATGTCACGACACCATGTCATATACTGACCACCTCTCCGCTTTTTCCAACCAGTCCCAGCGTCGGCAAATAATGCATGACGTGGAATTCTATGGGACATTAAAAATTCACTTTATCTCCATGATGCCATTTTTACTTTTCTTGTTGATTATTACTAATTATAATCTATATTTTTTATAAGCTCTCGAATTATTCATATTTATAGATAGTAACTTGTTTCAGTTGTATTTTAAGCTAAGTAGGCGTTGACAGTTTTTTCAATAATGTTTTGTTTATTTGTTTTACATATCAATCAGCTTTCATTATTTATTATTTTTCGTAGTCTGGTTATTACCGCATCTAAAGTACTTAGTGAAAAAGAATAATTATACAATAAGGAATAGATCAGACAGATTAACAATCTTTTTCTGAATCTTAATCAGTTGATGTAGATAGTAAAAAATTGTTTAATATATTTAATAGCCAATGTTCAAAGTTACAATAATGGAAACATTTTGTTTAATAAAGAGTAATTTCCAAGCTTCGGGTACTGCATCAAACACAATTCTTGTTTGAAATGATGAAGAAGATTTGTAGCGCATGTGGGTGATTTTGATGGAGTTTTGTTCTCTGAGCTAGATGGTTTGGTCGTGGAGCTTTCCATCCACCTGAAGTTTGTGCTAATGATATCGTTTAGAAGAACAATGAAAGCTCCAAGATAAAACCATCCAGCTCAGACAACAAAACTTCATCAAAAACAATTCTTGTTTATGCAACATTTAAGTCAATGTTTAGCTAATAAGATTTATATAAGCTTTCTTAGGATTCCAATCATATGATTTTCAACTAAAACATCAATAGTTTATTTAAAGAATAATTTGACTTTCAAATTTATTGAAACAAAGGTACCATACATAAAATCTATTACTTTAGATCATATTACTTCATAACATCTAGGTCATTTTGTTAATATCACACAGACGAGGAAGTTCTCAGATAGTTGTAGTGAAAATAAATTTACATGATGCACCGCTACAAGATCAAACTGTCTAACATTTGAATACTTCAACAACAACAACGACAACAGAAAAAGAAATTTATTCAGTTATAAAACAACACTCATAATTGCAGACGAAACTATAAGTATCACTGACATTATAAGTTAAATTAAAGGAGGTTAGTGTAATATTAGGCTGGTTATTCAGTCAGTATACATATGTAGCATAAATCATTCATAAATATTATTACATTTTGTTGAAGCTCACACATTCTACTTCATTGGGGGTCGAAAAATCGGTAACATTAAGAAAATCTATATTTAATATTGTGAAAAATTATTTAATTGACTGATTTCACTATGTTATTTAAATCCCGGAATAATTACAATGTTATAATAATCATCAATTTTTAGTGGGCTTCATTATTTGAATTTCAAAAGTTTTTGTCCAATATGTTGCAAAAAGGCTTTAGAACACTATTTCATTGTGTACTAAAACTATGTTGAGAAGAGAAGATTGAACAAGAATTAAATATGGTTGAAAAGTGTTGGAGATAATGGACACTAATTAAAGGTCATCAGTAAGTATGGGAAGAAAAATAACGAAGGGAATGTAATTTACTACAAGCAAGAAAATGCTAGTCTTTTAACAGCCTGCTTCCAAAGGTGGTGAAATAGCCGACATGCTTCATTCTAGTTTAAATGCTCCATGGAAGAAGACATATCCGGTCGACAAACTAATTTCGTCATATTAAACAAATTACGACAGACAAAAGTAGATGAATACTCGGCTCATGTTATCTTCAGTTATATTTGCCAATTAACATGTTCGTTCCAGAGCAGTTACATTAGAAAAACAGAAACGAAGTCTCTTTTTCGTGTCTCAGAGCACAATCCACAGAAACTGAGAATAAAAATGCTAATGTATTTTCAGTATAGGGTTTGCAGATTGTTAAGTTCACATTAATATCATGAATGGATCAATGTTAGGCTGAAGGTCCTGGGTCCGAGTCCCGTGTGCAGGATCGTGGATGCGCACTTCTGAGGATTCCTATACTAGAACTAAACGGCCGCCCAGTGCTTCCAGGTCTTTAATGGTGGTCTAACATTGATCCATTCATAATGTTTTTTCAACAGTGCTACTCCTCATCATCTGGATAGTAGACACGAGGTTGGTATTTTAAAACTGTTCAAAATAATCACTATCCAAAAACAACTTCGAATGTACTACGTTACATCGAAGCCATTTCAATTAAATAGTTCAAATTAAGCACATGCATTTCAAAGAAAAGTTGTAAGTCTCTCACTACTCCGGTAGCCTCTGTTTTTCGTTATTCAATTACGTAATATCTTATTTTATATTCACAAAAACAAATTCCTTTTTCATTCTCAAATCTTTTTGAGCTTCACTCATTTCTCTCAGTTAATCTATCAAATTTTACGGTTATTATTACGTAACTTTAACGTCAATATTCATTCTCCAGAAATGTATCTCCATGTGTTCTAAAATTTTCTTCTTAAAATTTTCACACTTATTAACATATATATTTATTCAATTTACAATTTTATAATACTTCCATGTTGACTGTCGTTATTCTACTAATATTTATTGATTTGATACGAAGTATGTACATTAGTTAAAAATAACTATTATTATTGTAAATTCAATAGTTGAGATCATGAGTCAATTGAAGCTGGACCACTATAGAAAACCTGGGAGCACTGGACAGCCATTATGTCCTAGTATGGGACTCCTTAACAGTGCCCAATCACGATCCCGCCTCGCAAGATTTGAACCCAGGACCTATCAGTCTCGCGCGTGAGAGCTTAACCACTAGACCACTGAGCCGGCATCTAACTGTGTTAATGTCTAACTCCAACTAACTAAGCTCCGACCGACTCATGATCTCAACCGCTGTAATTACTATAATATCCACAAACCCCCTTTTGATATTATTATTGTCGATGAATATCCATGAAGTAAATGAAATTACCTTATTCTACTACATTCGTTGTACTTGCTTTATTCATATTTATCACTAGTAAAAATTATATAAAAGTTATTATCCTGTAACTCACTAATCTGAAACTAAGAAAAGATTTACTGCTTAGAAACATGAGAGTCTATAACTAATAATCATCTCGGAAAAAAATTTTAATGCAACCCCGACAATCAAAACGAACTTACAAAATGTATGCAATCACACCAATAGCCCAACAGTCTACTTCTTTGCCATAACCGGAACTGCCTTCATTAACACTAAGAACTTCAGGAGCTAAACAAATAAAATTTGAGGAAACACTGTAGGTGCAAACATTAAGTTAATTTTAATAAATTATGATAAACCCAAAGTTTCTGTACTGCCAAACAGTGGGATCTAAGATGAACGTTCAACTTTATTTAGGACTCATCTACTAGATACACCGGTACTCGTGGTGATGTTCACAAAAAGGAATTTAATCCAGTTTCTTACGCTTTAAACTCAGTGCGTTATACACCTATTTACTGAGTCCAGATAGTCACTGGCTTATGCATTGAGGATTAATTTTTATTCATCTTTTAGGGTTTAAATCTTCCCGTCATTGATGTTAAGAACTGTAATTTATCAGTCACTGTCAAAAACAGTATATGACTGTCAGCAGTCCTTAACATTAACGACTGGAAGATTCAAACCCTTAGAAATAGAATACGACTAATTTGTTATCTTTCAGTGGTTTTATGGATTGTTTCAAGCTAATTGGAAACATTAAATATTTTGTGACATTTTTTATAACATATGCACATAACTGAACCATGATTTCTGATCGTTTAAATACTCTGGATAGCAGTTTCATGACATAACTGAATGGTTTCGTATTTTATTTGATTCTTTTTTTAATATTCTGTCATTTCAAATTAGGTCATAGTCTAATATTTCTATGATATAAATGGAAGGGTTTTTAGTTGTTTTTGACCTGGAGAAATGAATTGAACAAATAATGGTTTCATGACTTTATATAAAGTGTTTTTCAATAAATATTTAAACAGAAAGTATTCTTGGTAATATCATCAACAGAATCTGCCATTTGAAACTAAAAAATTAAAAATTATCGTTATTAAAGGTGGAGAGTTATTACTTTTATATTAGAAGTTATTAAAACAACTTAGTCAATTTTACTAAATTCGGATAGTGGTTAAGAGCGGAGTCCAAGTTGAGCATTTCATCCGATTTCGGACAGGCTAACTGAATGTATCTGTAATCCAAAGTTCATGATGACACTGGGAGTAATGAATACCAACAATAAACAGATATAACTCATTACAAATTAGTCAATATACTTAAACTATAACATGAAGTGAATACTTCACATGATTAAGATTCGCCTACTCATAGTATTACATAATAAAAATAGAAGATAGTATTTGAAAGAAACCCTAAATGTTCATAATTAGATATGATATGCCCCCAACTGCCCTGGTACGGTCGAGAGTGGGGAGAGTCCGCTCTCCCTCTCGAAATGCTCTCACATGGTCACGCGTATATAGCCTCTTCCAGAGAAGTCTTACACACTGCCTTCTCGTGGCGGGGGTGTTGTTTACAAAAATGAGAGGACGAAAAGTGAATGTCCTACGCTTTAACCGGATTCCAAATCAATGGTGCACATGGGCTCCAGTATCCTGAGGGCACAAATGGCGTATGAACCAATTGTTGGTCACCGGCTTCCATGGGACTGCATCTCCTTACGATGCTCCACTTTCTTATGAATCAGACCTTCAGGTTGAAGGCTCAGGGAGTGCCCCCCTAAGAAAGCCACCTTGTTCGGTTACGGCACCCAGGCAGTATCACAACCCTCACACATATCGAATGAGATTTGTGTGGCGCATTTGTATTTGGTGCCTGCTTTTACCAATATCTATGTGTTAAGATAAATAAATAAATAAAGATATGATACACCCAATTATTCTTACAATGGAGTAGAAAATGTAAAAGATAACACATCAACTGTATTGTTTTAAATACTGTATATGGAGAAGTGTAATTTCTACATAAATCAAAATCTTGTAACTGAAAATACATTCAATTTTATCAAATAAAAGATGAGTTTTTGTTTATGAAACAGAGATAATGACGTATATTTCAAACTTAGAATAAACATGGATTTGAATAAACTATAGAGAACATAATAATAATAATAGTAATAATGTAGGCCGAGTAAACTGATCATTACAATCATTTACATAAATGAAACATTGATCTCAATTCCCCATTCCGAATATATACGAAATTTCTTTTACTTGATCAAATGATAAATCAAAATCTTTATGAGTTATTCATCATTATTATAAAAAAAATAACTAAGAATTACCATAAATATAGTCAAATCACATGAACAATTCATTGTATAATGTATATATATGTAAGAATATTACTGAAAATGTATCTATGTATATATGCATAAACTAATTCATCTAATGTAATCTTAATGACATAATAAATTACTTTATATTGAGTAAAATAATTTGATAGATATGCTTAATCAACTTGAAAAGTCTTAACTTTAACATAAGGATATATATATATATATATATATATATATATATATATATATATATATATATATATATATATATATATGGAAAACTATGCTAATGTTCTTTAGTGAATATTCTTATTTCCTCTAATTGTTAATCATAGTCAATGTTTCATTTTATTACTAATGTATAATAGATCAAAAGGAATAAAATAAAACAAATTAACATTTCAAAAATATTAATAATTATATATGCAAATTGTATTATAGTAAGTATTACAACTATAAATTTTGTTAATAATAAATTACATAATAATGTTAATGATGATTAAATTGTCATTATAAACGACATGAATGTTGTAACGCCGATACTTTTTATAGTGTATGAAGTAATAATCATTTATATCTCAAGATGTTTTTTGTGATAGAAGGTCATAGGTATAATCAAATGGCTATAATTCTTGATAGTTCTAGTTTTCGTGATTCTACATTTCCCCAGTTTCTTATGTCTAATATCATCGTATAATAAAGAAATTGTGATAAATTATGTATTATGAATATATTTATATGGAATATTTCTAGCTTTCTTAATTCTATAAAAGATTTCTAATCTTTTCACAAAACCGATATTGAATAGTAAACAATATCATGTTATTTAGCCAATGATGTAATATGGTCATGTAAATCAATGATATAATAAATTTTATTTATTATTTAAAAACTGTGAGGAAAAGTTCTGAACTTAATTTTTATGTTAATTAATGTTTATCATCAAGTCTTGAATGAACTTGTGTCCATTTGAAAGACTGGAACTCCAGTCATATTGTGTCTTAATCAATAATGTTCCAACTGTGCTATGCAGGAGCCTAGCAAAGTTGTCTGGTACTTGAAAAAATCAACAATGATTACTCTGCATTAATTAACTGACGGAGCAGAATTAGTTTTTCCATAAGTTACACTTAGGAAAGCATTTATATGTTATGAAAAAAGAAAAATAATCGAAAGACTCGTTTTCAGTTATTTTTTCTTTACCGATTGAATAATAAAGACTTTTGTATACAGGTTTCGTTTTATATACAACACGTTTCAAACAACAACTATATACTTTATTTATCACCATTTTATTAATAAATTTGTAGTATCAACTCAATTTATCAATGGAACAATAAATCCTTGTTCATTCTTTTTTTGATTGAGATCAAGAACCAATTGGTGTTAGACCACCGTTAGAAACCCGGAAGCACTGGACGGCCGTTTCGTCCTATTGTCGGACTCCTCAGTAGTGCGCATCCACGATCCCGCTCGCGCGAATCGAACCCAGGGCCTTCGGTCTCGCTCGCGAACGCTTAACCTACTGGACCACTGAGCTGGCATTCAGCGGTGATAGTGTCTAACATCTTTTTCATTTTATAAGTTAAACATCTAGAAATCACCTTTTTATAGAAAGATAACTACTTGATTATCGTTAGAGTTATAAGAAGAAAACATTTACAATCCTTTCAAACTGTGTACTGTCAATAAAATAATTTAGATATTTGTATGCTAAAGGTTTACGTTTAATAAAGTCATTCTAACAACCAACTGAGATTAGATAAAAAATGATTTCTTGAAGAAACTTTGTTTCTGAATAGTTCAATTTTTTCATTTCGATAATGTATATAGTTCTATTAAAGTAAAAATAAGAACAGAGAAAAAAATATTCCATTCCAAATAAGTATTCTGGTTTTGAAGATAATCAACATCATAGATTATATTTATTCAGATAATTATTGAAAACCTGAAGAGAAAACTAGATAGATAAATTAAAATTACTTATCAACCTATGATCATATATTGGCATGAGATTGAGTTCAAGAGTTTCAGGTCTTGTAAAGATATTCAAATTATGACATAGTCATTGATGTGAAAATCTCAGTAATCACAAATGAAGACAAACTTTCGTCGAATTGGAAGATCACCTAATATATATATATATATATATATATATATATATATATATATATATATATATATAGAGAGAGAGAGAGAGAGGAAGAGAAATAACCATGTAATACATGTATATTGCTATATACGGGTTATTTACGAAGCGAAAACACTCGTAATTACCTATCTGAACAATTTACTATTAAATCTTCGATAATTATTCCCTGTTTTATATCAAAGGATTCCACTACGTTTTTTTTCTGTTAATTAATGCGTTTTTCTACACAAAAGATTGTCTCATTGTTAGCATACATAAAGAAAGTCTATACACATGTAAATAGATAGATATATAGATAGATTAAATCATATATGAGGTAAGGAACTAATCTAACAACATGCAAAATAAAAACGATAATGTTTAGCTTATAGTTTCATCTTGTCCCTTTTCTCTCTAGGCTTTATAAGGTGAAAAAAGAAATTTTGAGTTTTATCTTGCTTACAAAAGAAAATGTTTATTTACAAAGCATAATATGGTATAAAGACTAAACTAAAAACTAATAAATGAACAAGATGACACAGAAAAGGGTGATGACAGTAAAAAAAAAGCTAATAAAGTTGAAAGATGGAAAATAAGGAGAAACTTTGATGATAACAACAATGACAAAATATAAAACAAACAAAGTTACTTGATAACTAATAACAAATGAAGAACTTTTTTTCTTTTCTTATCTCTTCTTTGCTCTTCTCTTTATTTTGTTACCAATAAACACAAGTAAACAAAAAGACAACAACAGGAAAGAAGGATTTTGATCTAATTTAGTCTAAAAATTATCTTAGCAATTTTACGAAGAAAAAAAAATTATTTTAAGGAAAAGAAGACACGTGAAGTATTATATCTTGAAGAATATTTTCGAATTAAAGAAAAAAGGACATCGTTTACATGATTTCAATCGATCAATAGAGCAGTTAAGTTGTCAACTGTGGGAACTAGAAGATAATATATATTTGGTGTATAAGTGAGCATTTGTTTCATAAAACTAAAGCGGAAAATCGACAATCGTTTGATGAAATATTCAAGTTTTAATTAATTATGGCAATTGAATGATGTTAGAGTGTGAGCAGTAAGTTGTGAAGCGATAAGCAAAGATGGATAGTGGCTACCAGTGGAATCCAGGACGCGCGTTTCGTCCTATTTAGGACTCATCAGCTGGATCTACCTGCATCTTAGAGTCGATGTTCACTCTTAAACCCGAACTCAGTACCATTCACTTCAAACGCCATCACGTTATCCAATCAGCTACTGAGTCGTGATAGCCACTTGCTTGTGCAATGGGGTGAAGTTTAATTCACTTGATATTGTTTTACTTGAATCTTCCCATTGATGTTTTAGGACTGAAATTGATCAGTCTCTTATTGGCATATGTGCATACTGTGCGTATTGCTTCGATATTGCCTTAATTTACAAGCATTATAAGCAAAAATGGATAGTGGCTAGCATGCAATATCGAGGCAATACGCACAGTATGCACATTTGCCAATAAGAGTCTGATCAATTTCAGTCCTAAAACATCAGTGAGAAGATTCAAGTAAAACAATATCAAGTGAATTGTGAAGCCATAGTTCATTATTGTTTGTCTACTTTAGGATTACAAAAGCTTGGATAGTAAGTAGCAACATAAAATGTGAAAAAGAAATAGCTGATAAATTTTTAAAATATCGTTTTCAAAAGTATGTTCGTATAAATACACATTTTAAGTTTTATGATTAATATGATGCAATGAAACAGTATGAAATGAAACAGGATATTTCGTCATCATATTCACGATGACAATAATGATCAATTAATTTTTATGAACTATATATTATCGTATCATTATTATAGAACTAAATAGACGACTCTAATAAAGTATGACTGAAGATGGAAATAATCACATTAATTCCTAATTTACATTAAGTAAAACCTAAACAATGACTTGAAAGAATCAGGAAAACATAGAAAATAAAATGGTAATGATGATGTAAATAAAATAGTGAAAAAATCGTGCACGGTCTGATTAAAAGGAATCCAATGAAATATAATTTAACTTTCTCGATAGATAGTTCTTTGCATCGTTAGAATACTGTATGACGTAAGAAGTAGTTACTTATAATCAGTGAGTTTATAAATTACAATTGACTTGGAAGATAATGTTTATGCGATGTCTAATCTTTGTATATTGACAGAGAAAAATCAGAAAATTTCAATTTCTTGTCAATATTATTACTTATACTTGCTACCATAAGTGGCATACACCATACTAGATTGAACATAAGGAAGTAAACAGAATCGTAAGATTTTCTGGTTGCTATATCCGGACCAAGAATAAGTGAATAGTAACCGCTAGGATCTATTCGTGGACTACTATTATATATATTTTTATTGTATAACCGATAAGTAACTACATTATATGTATATTCATGTTTCTTTTATTATGAACATTTATCCGACCTATTGACTATTATTACACAATTTACTATTCTTAAAATATTCCCAATTTATTAGTAACAGTCTCGCACAATTACAGCCACTTTTTGGCTTAATCTTGTATAATTGTTATTTTCTATTTTATGGGATGATGCGGTCTGGTTTGTTTGTATATAAACTAAGTATGTCTGAAATGTATTATTCATACAGCTGTGTTCTTGATTCATCAGTCAGGGCTAGACAACAAGGACTAGTAAGGACACTGGGCTCCTCGTACCGGTCAACATGTCTTTGATTTGGCACAGTGCTAAGATTGTATAAGTTGTGTTCTAATTGGTGACTTAGTCAAATAATAGTTAACAGGCCACAAGACGTAACTCTGGTTCTTTCCAGAGAGGTCACCATTTGATAAAAACAAGGTGATTACGGGCATCCTGAGAGAAACCCTGAACCTAAACGCTACTCTGGTTAGGATCCCAGTAACGTGAACCTGAAGTTTCTGGGGCCTTGATGCTTCCAGTGTAATTCGAACTATCGTCACGGTGTGACATTGCTACTGGCCTGTTCAGGCCATATGTGATATATGTATATTGTAGTGTCGGTTATTGTGTTAAGCCTATATAACTTATTCTGGCTTTCGGAGAGACCAATCTATTCATTCTACTTGAGTCACATTCTGACGTTGTTAGCTATTCGCTTATCCAATCGTAACTGTTTTTATATGAGCGCATATGTGTGTGTATATTTCTTATCCCATTACTCATCACATGTCTGTAACCCATTTTCGTGTGACTATAAATCTTGAATGATGCTTAACTAAATGGAGTTGGCTCACACGCCTTCTCCACCGCGCGTCATTTTTTGCTTCGCTCTCCTCTTCGCATAGTTTCCCCATTCGTTTTTCTGGGTCAACGATTATACAAAATATGTATTCAAAAGACAATTCTCGTTAGTTAACTTATTTGATTCCGTTATTGACTTACGCGATTTAAGTAAATGATTATATACGATGATAGGCGACATATACAATTCAATAACAATCATTCATGCGATCTACTTGGAGTCAGATCCCGGGCCAATAAAGTGGAGAGCCCGTCAACAAACATCATCCGATCTAAACGACGACAAAATAAAAGGCTCCACAATATAATGTGATAAATAATCAGGCCAACGAGACGATGAAACTAACAAATTATTTTACGGGGTACCGTTATTACCCCGCAAAAGTAGTGAAGAAATGCAATCTCACAAAAAAACACTTTAAGAACAGTTAACTATAACAAAACACTTGAATCTGAGAATTATAGCAACAACTTAGTCTACAAATAAAATCTAGAATATCAATAAAAATGAATGAAGTGGGTGACTATTAAATTAAGTAGTTTTGTGAATACAAAAAAATAGAAAACAATACTCCAATTCATAAATAACTAAATCTGTTATTTAAGTATTAAAGAATTGTAGAATTATTTAGCGTTTTATCCGAAACAATAGCTTAAAGTGGGTTTTACGCCGATATTTATTTATTTGTTTGAACACAAAAATATTAGTACAAAGGAGCACCGAATACATATGCGCCACACAAGTCACTCGATTTGTGTGTGGGCCGTGATACTACCCAAATGCCCAAACCAAACAAGGTGGTTTCCTTAGGGGGCCATATGCAAAGCCTTCGATCTAAAGGTCTGACCCATAAGGCAGTGGAACAACATTCGCTTTTTGTCTACACAATGTCGAAAACAACATTAATGCCGCAAGAAGGCGGTGAGTAGGACTTTTCTGTTAGTGGCTGTATACATGTGGCCATGCGAGAGCATTTCGTGAAGGAGAGCTGGCTCTCCTCACCCCCGGCCCCCTACCAGGGCATTTACGGGCGTTTTACGACTTAAAAATTTATCATTCGACAAAAGTCTAACCAATATAATTTATGGAATCAACCCTTTTTCATTACCCTCGTGCATTTTACGAGTAGCCTAATGATGATGAATACCTTGTCAAACAATAACACGAAGTTATTAGCAACACCACACTTTCTTGTTTCAGATAAAGGACTTTACTAGTTCAAATCAGCTGAGTAGAAATATATTACACTGTAACACTAAACATTAAAAAAAACTTAAGTATGAAACTGAATAGTGTAGGTCTATTGAGAACTAATTTTTTTAAAGTGTATGCAGACACCTTAGGAACAGCTATTGATTATAGTACATAGTTTATCAATAAACATTACTGCACAATATAAATTATGTCCTCGAACTATGGTTTGTTTTTAACGACTGGATTGTATTTTCCAATTCGACGGAACATGAACGATATATGCAAATTAACACTGTAGTTTAATTATAATTGGCATAATCAGAAAAGAAACACTTTCAAGCGACATTAATATGATGTAGATTGAATTTACCAGATGAGACCTTTAAGAAAATGGTTCAAAGAAATTGGCGATATATTGTTCTATGAGTAAAGCAAGCAGAAAAAACGATAAATGTATATCCAGTCAAGAAGATACCATTAACTGTGTCATTTTAATTTAATAGTCACAATACAAGCATAATTGTAAATACATCAAAAGATAAATATTATATTAAAATTTTTCTGAGATGAATCAACTTACCAACATAACCTGGTGTACCACAGGCTGTAGCCATGATGGACTCATTGTTTTCTATTTTTGACAAGCCAAAATCACTCACCATTATTTTACTATCATCAGCTGGACTAAAGTAGAGTAGATTTTCCGGCTAAATGATTAGTAATATACCATGAAAAAGAGAAAAATGAATAGTTAGCATTATAGCTTCATTACAGCGATCAGTATCACGTTGTTAAAGTTACTAATCAGAATTCTAGTTATAACATTTTTCTATACTGAGGTTACTATTTCTTTTCTATCCTAGTGTCCTAGACTTGACCGATTACACGTCTGACCTGTACTGTTAACCTTGAACCAACATAAGTTATGCGCCTATTTGTCTAAAATACTCCAACCTTTATCTGTCCTTTACGTTGAGTTCAAAGAGGAATCAAAAGCTAGTTTCTATTACATTAAATTTGACCACGGCTCAAAATGCATAAAACAATATACATAAAATTCTTAACCACACAGCACACCAAATAATAAATCATACTTTAACACACAATCATATCATGAATGATAGAGAAGAAAACAACAGTACATAATTAATTAGCAATAACTAAGAAACACTAAAACGCATAACAATGATTAATCGATCTATCGTAAGCTTAACACAAGGGGAATATAGAAACGCAACAATACAGTTATCTACAACAACAAAATAATAATCCAGAAAATCGTCGCGAAACTTTCAACTTTTCCAATATTCGTTTCGTCATAACAGTAAGTTAATTGTAATTTTATCAGATTGCAAACAAAATTAAAATAGATTTGCATTGACAATAATAAACAATTGAAAACGTGTGGATAAAATGAAGTTACTGTATAATAGCCCAACTGGTAAATGATTTAGTTGATTGATTACATCATTCACTTTACAATGTAAACAAAATCAAACAGTTTTTTTTTCTTTCAATAAATATTATCTCATCTGACTAAAGAATAATCGATGTTATGATGAGATATTTTTCACTACTCAATGAAACCTTTTAGATCAACTTATTGTTACAGATATATCTTGAGGTATATTTATATAACTTGGATGTAGACAAACAGTATTATAATATAATGGATTTATTTCACTTTTCAAGGACTTTAGAAAACCTTACATAAATAATAAAATAGATGTGTAAACACTTCAAATATGATTCTAAAACGCTAGTCTTTATTTTATTCAATGGTTACATATAAGAGCAGTGGCTACTTATACAGTCACTTTTTTATGGAGTACGTTTTATACTTGAATTTCAAATTAGTAATTGTGTTAGGAGAGTTTGCAGATTATTGATACTGTAGTGAACGAGAACACAAGTGGAGACAATAGAATGTATATGAATACAAGATTACAGAATCTCTTGGTAAAATCTGAAAATCATAAAGTAAATACTTAATTTGCAAAACATCAATAAATTGTCTCAAACTTGATTGTTCCTTAGCAAATGTCAACCAATCGTCTTAGACTTCACTGTTCCTTCATTTCTATACCGATCGCTTTCTGTTCCCGTTTTTTCCTTCTCGACCTTCTGCTGCCAGACATTCTATTCCTGAATAGCGTTAGGACATTAACATCGTTGGATGCCGGCTCAGTAGTCCAGTGGTTGAGAGCCCGAGCGCGAGACTGATAGGTCCTGTGTTCCAATCCCACGAGGCGGGACCGTGGGTGCACACTGCTGAAAAGTTCCACAACTGGACGAAACGGCCGTCCAGTACTTCCATGCTTCCCATGGTGGTCTAGCTTTAATTGGCTCATGAATTCAACTATTAAATTACTATAATATCCACAAAACCGTTCCCTGGTTATACTACTTATGTCGATATAAGTAGCACACATTACAATACAATGGATAGAATATCAATTTTTTATTACACGACCCTGATTATCATATTTGATCAGTTATGATTTATCTATTGCCCAGGACATAGTTCGATGAAGAATCCTGGTGAGCAGCCTATACTCCACAAGGGGTAACAGGCGTAAGGAAATAAGTAATTGCTTCTTTTTTTTTATCTATTACACCATACATTAATGCCTGATTATTTCCCATACAAATAGCATATTTCACTTTTAGTTAGTTGTTCTGTAACAGTTCGTTTATCAATATTTTTACTTACTTAAAAACTGAAATTGTGACAACTTCTAAACTACACCTGAATTGAAGTTGGTTACGTTGGGGTTTTTTTTCATGGAAAACTAATCATTGAAATATTATCCAAGTTACAACAATATTGAGTTGAAAACTTCATAAGTTATCCTTATTGTTTGTTTTTGTTTTTTTTAAAAAAGAGAGGACATGATCGATAATCGATTCTGTCACGTAATTTTGATCCATTCTGTATACTTTTTTTTCATTATTCTAATCATTTTCACTTAGATTAGAAATAATTATTATTTTATGGATAGCGTGTCAGTTATTTAATATTCATTTTTTATTCAACTATTCAACATATATACAAATATATACATAAATTGATAGGGTTTATTTATTAAAGTTATTGACAAAAATTTGACCTAATGTTTCTTTTATTATAATTATTTTCATTGTAATTTATGACCTTAAATTTAATAATATTTAGTTTAAAAGCTTTTTTTATTTTTACTTCCTTAACATGTTCTACATACTGGTACTTCTTTAATTGGTTTCCAGTCAATTTAATTACAGGAAACATGAAATATTGACTGAATAGTTAAATGATAGTATGCTAATCAGATAAGATTTGAATATTCTCATGTGGAATCGTAAGGTTGAAGGTGTAATTTGTGAAATATTTTTCTTTGTTTTTATTAGTTAAATTATGATAACAAAAATGTTTCTTTAAACTGGGAAAAATTTTTTACAGATCACCCTATTAAGTATTAGTGGTTCTGTCATGAAAATGAACAGCTTGACATTTCAGTTTAAACAAAATGAAAATTAATATTATTGAAATCCTGAACCGACTAATGTTAAATCACAATTGAAAACCTAGAAGCATTGGATGGCCGTATAGTCCTGGTGTGGGATGCGCACTGTTGAGGAGTCCCGCACTAAGATGAAAAGGCGGTTCAGTGCTTCCAGGTTTTCCATGGTGATCTAACATCGATCGGTTCATTATTTCAATGGAATTCAATAATCTCCAGAACCTCAAACTGAAAACTAATTGTCTGATTGCATTATTGCGTATTATTATTAGATTTTATTAGTCAGTATAAATGATCTAAACATATAAATAAATGATTCACTTGTTTAACAGCTACACGTAAAGAGTTTTAATGAACAAACGAATAAATGTAACCTACATTGTTGTTTTATTTTTTCCTGTTTTTGAAAGAAAATGAATTAAGTTCAGTTAAATAAGCCTGTCATTCTATTCAAAGACTGAACATGTTTACTAATCCATCGTAAACTCTTATAAAGAAACTAAACTGTGAGTATAATACTTTTTGTTTGTACAATATTATTATTATTATCATCATCATCAGCTTTATTCAATATTGTATTTTTGGTACAATGTAGAATTCTCAGCGTAAAGTATTTCAACAAGTTTCCGTTTCTTTCTTTCTGGTCGGTCCTGGCGATAAATATTAAGTGATCGCCAGTTAAATGTTAGCAGTTCAGTAAATGAACATCTGGATAATGTGCATTCTTTTTGCTGTATATTGCCAGCAACCACATTGTCTCTTATTGAGTTTTTTGTAACTTTGACAACGAAAAGTTGTACACTTTTTAGAAACGCAGCAGAATAGGTTATGAGATTAATAAACATAATGATATATTAAAACAAACAAAAATAGATAACTTGTTGAAATATCTAGATGGCAGGAACAGGTAGCCCGAATGCTCAAGCAGTCTAATTGGTAAAAAAAAGTGGGGTTTTTTTCTGTATACATGCATATCAATGTTGCATCAGTTTTCAGTGAAAATTAGGTTTGGAAAAATTTGTCTAAATTTTTCAATAGTTAATTGTGTCTTCATTAATGAATGGGTTACAGTGGAAAAAGAACATGATAAATCAATTAATTGAGTTTCGGAAAAAGATTCAACTGACAAATAACAAAATAGTTAATTAGTAATAGTTTACAAAAACTTTTGTATCATAGTGCATGAGTTCTATGGGAAAAAACCAACTATCAAAGTAGCAAATACAACGTTATTAATGTGTCAATAAAGATAGGTTCGTAGACAGACTGAAATATGAAGCATTACTCTGAATTTTAAAAATCTTACATTAAACCGTTCTTTTATTCAAACTAAATAGTTAAATATTGTTAGTGAACAGTACATGCATAAATAATGAAAGTAAATTAAGTTATACATCAGTCAGTCAGTCAGCTACAACGTAGGACCAGACACATATATGCATCGGTCAAAGTTGCCATATCTCATTAACACAACAAGATGAACGCCGGATTCACAAAAGTAGTTAATTCAGTGGTGGTAATATATAAAAGAAAGACTGCATATAAGGATATAGTACAGGAAGAAAGAATTAGTTCGTAGAAAGAAAGATATGAAGCGATTTTAATCTCTTAGTTTAAGGGAAGACAGAGAGTGTGTATATCGACGCCATTGGTAAACCGAAATCAAACAAGATATTAGTATTCATGTAATCAATAAATTTATTTTAACTGATTTAGTCTATGATCTGGGTAACATAATCAATAAACACGATTCCGTTGGTAATCTACATTATTTACTACGAGATGCATAGTGGTAATTTCATGGTTAAAGTATTCGGGTCTCAGTCACTAGGTCTCATTTTCGAACCTTCACAAGACTTATTTTAATTTCATCAGACGGGTAATATTACTAACCTTCACACAACCAACGTTGCCTGGTGAACAAAGTTGTACTTAATATATAAGCTATATTAAATTTTACCGTAGTAAATGACATTGGTGTTGAACATAACAACCTTAAGGTTTTTAAGTCACTTTCAAGGCTTTTGGTAATTTTAAGGATATTAGAAATGCAAATTTGATCTATGGAAAAAGAAAATATTATTTAAACACATGCTTATTTGTCGTCATGTCTGTGGTGATTGTATTGGTGTTTAAATCAAAACGGTTATAGGTTTTTAAGCCTCGTTTCCCTTTTTATTAGTGTGTCAAGAAGTATTGTTAGGTAA